AAAAAATCTTTTCTTCCCACCTAATTTATATATGTTAGTCTCATGATACGCGCTTTGCGCGTGTACATTATCTCAATAAGAAAGAATTTTAAAATGCTATATAAATAATAAATTAAAGTATTATGTGTGAGTGATAAAATAAAAGTTAATTTTTTCTATAATGATGAATCTTCATACAAGTTCTCAATCATCAGTCAATATTCAACCAAAAATTTATTTTATTTTTTAATTGAATCGTTTTAAATTCATAAGTTATCATGCTTCTTTCTCAATTTTAACAATCATATATAATCCTTGAAAACTTAAGAAGTTTTTTTATTTTTTTCTTTTTTTGAAAAACTATTCTCTAGTTCATCTTAGAAGACTCAAATAGGATTAACAAATTGATAGAAAATAACAACTTTTTTTTTCAAGAATAAAATGTAATTCATTTAATTAATAATAAATACTATATGAAAAATATCCAACAAATTAGAAAAAGAATAAATTATTGTAGCTCAATGTATAATCAAATTACATAAATTATAAGATGAAAAGGTGTACTGAAAAAGAAAAAAGAAAATAAACAATACAAAACCTAAAACTTTTTACCAAAAAAAAAAAAAAAGCTCGTCAAGGAATCTTAAACAAAAAAATTTACAACAGAAAGATAGTTTAATTGATTTTCCATATCAGAGTCCTAAATATTAGGCTATTAATTAAAGTTTTTGTCCCTAAATATTAGAAAAATAATTAATGATTATTCCTACATATTAGGACAACAACAACAACAACAACAACAACCCAGTGAAATCCCACTAATCGAGTCTGGGGAGGGTAGTGTGTACGCAGACCTTACCCCTACCCCGAAGGGGTAGAGAGGCTGTTTCCGAAAGACCCCCGACTTCCTACATATTAGGAAAATAACTAAAATTACTACTCTATCCAATATAAAATATATTCTTAAAGGGTAAAAAAATCGAACGACATTTACTAAGGACCTTCGTACTTTTAGTATCATATAGTATATATATATATGTATGCATGTATATATTGCGTAAGAAAATTTTACATAATAGGCCTAAGTTTTACTTATTATAGTAAAGTGTGCGTCTTATTTTCAAGATTACAAATTCGACGCTTTAAATAGATATATCTATAAATATTTTTATATTTTTAAAGGGATATAGTAGTGTGAAAAATTATATGATATATATATATATATATATATATATATATATATATATAATTTAAACACAAAAATGTTTGTCACTCGGAAAAAGTGAAGATTCTCACCTTTCAATATAAATACTTCCAACATTTCTTCTTCTTCTTCTTCTTGTGAACTCAAAACCAAACTTTGTCCTTTATATTCTAAGCTTTATCTTCCTTCTTTCTTCCTTATTTAGCATCCACAACTCCAAAACACAAACATTCCTCTCTCTAAAACTTCAGAAAGAGAAACCCTGAAAAAGCAAAAATAAAAATAAAAAAGAGGATGGAAAAAGTGATATTTTTGGTGTTTTTGAATTTATTGGGAATTTTCTTGGTTTCAATGGCAGAAGATAAACTTATGAGCCCTTCAAAATTAAGAATGTTTGTTGACAAACTTCCAGATATGCCAAGAATAAAAGGTTATGATGTTATCAATGGTGTTCATGTCCCTAAATCACTCAAAATTGGTATGTACCACAAAAAATGGGTAAGTTACTAATTTTATATATCCCGAGTTTAAGTTTTGTGTACTGATTTTATATAAATTTTATACATTATACATAGTCAAGTTAAATTGATATATAACACGTAATTCTTTATAGCAAGTCTGATATGATAACTTAAGAAAATAAGATAATAACCTGTTATAACCATCAAATTTAACTGGTGTAAAAGTTTTTTACACTATTACATATTACAATTTAAACCCCTTTATACCACCAAGTAGTGTTTTTTTTTTGTGTGTGTGTGTGCGTTTTTTTAATATTTTATCCACAATGCTTTTTCTTCAGAATGCAAAATCTAAGTCTTTTTATGTATAATTCAAAGACCTGTGCCCTGAAAATTGGTAAGACCATATAAAGAGTCAAAGAGACAACATATCTTCATGTAATTTTTTTATATCATAGAAAAATATAATTCCTATAAATAGGATTGGGAATAGGAAATCCAAAAATGGAGTATTTCGTTTCATTGCATTGTATTCTTTTTTTAATAGTTGTAATATTTGTTCAGTTTGTGCATATCTCGACTATGTATTTTTCATTTGTCAATACTTGAAAGTTGTACCTTTGAATGGTAAGTGGCCTAGACATCTTATCGTATAACCACTGAAAACCGAACACATGTGCTTTCCATTTAGAAATTTTACTAATATTAAATTTGTACCCAATGTTTATTCCGCCAGTATAATAGAGTAAAAAAAGTTACTTCTAACTTTAGCATTGTTTAAATGTTACAAGAATTTCTTTGGTATTCTAGATGTCCGAAGTCCAGATCATATGTCCACTAGCCCTACTTTCTTAATCATTACTTTGGAATAAAATGTAACGTATTTGAAAATGGAGAAAAATGTCTTTTTCTTTTTTCTGCATAAAGTATAGTACTATAATATTACTAGATAGTCATTGAATCAGATTCTCTTTAGACTTGCAATTTCTCTTAAAAGGGTATTCCGGGTGCACTAAGCTCCCGCTATGCGCAGGGTCCCGGGTGACCTATGGTAGCAACTTTACCAGTTACGCCAAGGCTCCCCATCTTGCCGTTTCTTTAACCGAAAAGAAATTAACAGAGTAATTCAAGTTGTTATAGTTGGTTACGCATAATCTATTCGAGGTTATTAGTCAATATTTATTTATATAAAATCGTCCGCAATTACGTTTAAAATAATTTTTTGTATCAATAATGCATAGAAGTTAAACTCGATCTTTTTCATTGTTTTGCTTCTTATGCAGAAATTCCACAGGGATCTTCCTGCAACTCCGGTATTCGCATATGGTACATCGAGGCACACAGCAACAGTCCCTGGTCCTACAATCGAGGCCGTTAATGGAGTTGAAACTTACATTACGTGGCAAAATTACCTCCCTTCAAAACATATACTTCCTTGGGATCCAACAATTCCAACTGCTACACCTTCTTCTAAGAAAGGAATTCCAACAGTAGTGCACCTCCATGGAGGAATTGATGAACCAGAAAGTGATGGACACTCTGAAGCATGGTTTACTAATGGATTCAAAAATCGAGGACCGAAATGGACTAAAAAAAAGTACCATTATCACAATTTTCAACATCCTGGAACCATGTATTACCATGATCACGCAATGGGGTTGACTAGGGTAAACATTCTTGCTGGTTTAATGGGAGTCTATGTTATCCTTCAACCAAGTGTCGAGGGGCCACTGGGATTGTTATATGGTGAAGAATATGATCGTCCGTTGGTCGTATTTGATCGTGGTTTTCGAACAGACGGTTCGATTTACATGAATTCTACTGGAAACAATCCTTCAATACATCCTCAATGGCAACCTGAATATTTTGGTGATGCAATTATTGTCAATGGCAAAGCATGGCCTTACATGGTGGTAAAACGAAGGAAGTATCGTTTTAGGATCATCAATGCAAGTAATGCGAGGTTCTTTAAATTTTTCTTCACCAATAATATGACATTTATCCACGTGGCATCTGATTCAGCATACCATGAAGAACCGTTGGTGCTCCATGACCTACTACTAGCTCCATCTGAAATAGCTGATGTGATTGTTGACTTTTCACAGTCAAAGTCAAAGTCGGCGATCTTAGCCAATGATGCAGCATACCCTTATCCTTCTGGTGATCCTGTTAACGAAGCTAATAGTAAGATCATGAAGTTCATTATCGAACCACATCACGTGGTAGATACAAGTCGCATTCCACGAAAATTGATGAAGTATCAATCCCTGAATGTATCCGAGGCTTCAAATACAAGGTACATAGCTTTTTACGAGTATGCTAGTGACATTGACGAGCCTACGCATTTGTATATCAATGGAAAATCATTCGAAGCACCAGTGACTGAGACGCCAAAAGTCGGGACCAGTGAGATCTGGAACATCATCAATCTAACGGAGGACAATCACCCATTACACATCCATTTAGGTATGTTTGTTGTCTTGGATCAAACAGAATTGGTGAATAATGAAGAATTTAAAGCTTGTATGATGAAGTTGAATGATGCAATCAAGTGCCAAGTTAGCAAGTATGCACAAGGTAAAATGACAGAGGTGCCTGCTCATGAAAAAGGGTGGAAAAATGTGTACAAAATGATGCCAGGACATGTTACAAGAATACTTGTGAGATTTTCTTATATTCATTCGAATGCTTCATATCCCTTTGATGCAACAACAGAGCCTGGCTATGTTTACCATTGCCATGTAAGTTTTTCTATTTATGTCTCACTTTCATGCCATGCAAATTACTACTATTTCTTAACATCCCTTTTCTTTTTCAAGTTTCAGTTTTATGGTGCAAAATGGTCATTTTAATTACAGTTCTTATCTAATTATTTCCTTTTTTTAATTGCAGATTCTAGATCATGAAGATAATGTCATGATGAGGCCTCTAAAGCTTATCCATTGATAGGAATGGCCTTTTCTTTTCTTATTTTTGATAATATATTTGTGGGTGTTGATGAGCTCATATGTATAAACCATTTACCAATTTTAATCGAGTGAAAAATTATGAAATTGATGCCAATTTGAGTTTTTCTTTTCCTTATTACTGTAGTGTTTGCGATATATAATTTCACCAGAATCTCTCACTTTATAAAAAAATGATCCTAGTAATAACTAATAATACATGAACGATTTCTAGTTAACACATAGGCGATCTAGTATTTCACCAAGATTTCCAACTTTATAAAAAATAATCCTAGTTATAATTAATAAGCGATCAATCAGAGATAACTTTAGGTGATCACAAAAAATACATGGGGATTTTTAGGTAATATATAGACGATCTATGCTTTCACCAAATCTCCCAGTTTATTAGAAAACAATCCAGGTAATAACTAATAAGTGATAACTGGAGATCACTTAGGCAATCATAAATAATATATGGACGATTTCTAGGTAACCCATAGTTCCTCTATGATTTCACCAGAATCTCCTGCTTTTCAAAAAAATAATCCTAGTAATAACTAATAAACGGCAACCAGACTTTAGATAATCAGAAGTACAATCACTATCGATAATCTAGGTTGGATCCATTGTTTCATTTTCATATTCTTCTCTAGTAATTTTGTAATAGCAAAAAGAAAATAGAAGAAGAAAGAACATGCAAGTTTCTCTTTTACCTTTCTGTTTTTGTTAACTTCAATAAGGTATCCATTTGAAGCTGAGATATATATATTTCCTTTTTATAAGTTAGTGAGACTCATAGGACTCATATAACTAATTTTTTTTAATCAAATTAGACATATTTCTATTGGTCCTTGTACAATCCCATTTATCTAATTCACCCCATTTTACTACTTAATACTTTTAGCTATTTGCAGTACAAAATTGCATCATTCTTTTACTTATGTATTTGATATTTCTTGGTTGGGAAACAAGTTACTCCCTGCTATTCATAATAAATGATTTTTTTTTACTTTTGACATAGAAAAAAATGAGGTTATTCGCGACAAGGCGGGCGTGTCCCCTATTGAGGACAAGATGCGGAAAAAGCGGCTTAGGTAATTTGGTCATGTGAGGAGGAGGAGCACAGGCGCTCCGGTGAGGAGGTGTGAGAGGTTGACATTGGAGGGCCTACGGAAAGGTAGAAGTAGGCCAAAGAAGAGGTGGGGAGAGGTGATTAGGCAAGACATGGCGCAACTTCAGCTGATCGAAGACATGACCCTTGATAAGAAGGTGTGGAGGTCGAAGATTAGGGTAGTAGAGTAGGTAGTCTAGGGTGTTCATAACAATAGTATTGGCACGCAGCCTCGCTTTCTGTTGGTAGTAGATTTTTCTGACTAACCATTATTTTCTTCCATTGTTGATCACCTTACTATCTTGTTGTTTTTATTCTACTTTTATATGGCTTTTTGGTACTGGCCCTTCTTGTCTATATTTTTATTAATGTGGTGCTTATGTTTTCCTGAGCCGAGCGTCTATTGGAAACAACCTCTCTATCCTCACAAGGTAGGGGTAAGATCTGCGTACATACTACACTTCACAGACCCCACAGTGTGGGATAATACTATAATACCGGGTATGTTGTTGTGGTAATTCATAGAAAAAAAAAAGTATTCTAATTAAATTACCCTTAATTAAAATTTGCATATTGATAACTTTATACATTGGGATCTTAAATAAGGGTAAATTTTGAAAAAAAAATAAAGCCAATTCCTTCTTGATTATGTGAAAGGGTAATTATTTCGGACCAAATAAAAGAGGCCAAAATGTCACTTATTATGGATCAGATTAGGGGTGTTCGTCGGTCGGTACAGTACGGTAAGGTATTTAGACATTTCGATTCGGTATTTTTGGTATCCGGTTTCTTAAAATCCTATACCAATACCGTACCTAATTAAATTCGGTATGGTTCGATTTTTCTCCTTTCGATTTTCGGTTTATTCGGTTCGGTAACTTCGATTTATTCGGTTTGAATACTAACTAGTGCATAGAGCCATACACTCCAATATTCTTAATTAAAGTACTCAAAAACAAAACTGAAAATGTTTGTTGACAAAAATTTTGTCCAAAACTAGCAAATATCGATCCAAATAGAGAAAATTGTACATAAAAGAATATTTGATCATTAGAAGTGTCTTGTTACTTGTTTAGAGTTAATTGATGAACTTTGAGAATAAAGGAAAGTAAAATTTTAGATTTTTTATATTTATGTTATAATTGATAATATATGTTTTGTGTAATATAATATATATTTCGGTACGGTACCGGTATTTCGATTTCCATATTTATCAAATTATGCCCAGCCCTAGATGGGATGGAGTATTACAATACAATGATTAATGACATTTTCTACAATCTAAGGGGTGAAATTGACAAATACCTTTTTTTATCAACCTCATTATGCCATTATCCTCTTCTTTCCAATTTCATTCTCTGCTCAGAACTCAGAAGCATGCCACGCTAGACCAAGCAGAGAACCAATGGCAACTCTAAGCCTCAATCTTTATTCTCCTTCAGTAAGGCATCAATGTCTCCTCCCCAAATCTCATTATTCAAAATCCAATTTCAGAATCTCATGTTCCACCTCTTACTTGCAAAATAAAAAGGTGCAATTTTTATTCACCAGAACTTGATTTTTATTTATTTGAATTTCAAGAAAACGATTTTAACAATTACCCAATTGATTTTCATTGTTAGTTTTGTGTGTTTTTATGGTTCTTGAGCAGTTTAAGAGGGAGTATACAAGTGTGATGATAGTGCCAACAGGTGTAGGAGCAGCCATTGGTGGCTATGCTGGTGATGCTTTACCTGTAGCTCGAGCTCTTTCCTCTGTTGTTGACTGCCTTATCTCTCATCCTAATGTATGATTAATTTTATGTTCTTATATTACTAGCATAGTAGCATTTATTTATTTGCTTATTTCTACTTTATAATAATAAAAATGATAGCCTTGGCGTAACTAGTATAGTTACTACCATGTGACCATGAGGTCACGGGTTCGAGCCGTGGAAGAAGCCTCTTGCAGAAATGCAGGGTAAAGCTGCATACAATAGACCCTTTGTGATCCAGGCCTTCCCCGGACCCCACGCATAGCTGGCGCTTAGTGCACTGGGCTGCCCTAATAATAAAAATGATGTGCTTATTTCATCTGATGTGGATGTTGACATTAGTACCATTGAGCGACACTCAGGGTCAGAAGGGTTTTAAAATAGTGTGTTTCAACAACAATTGGTGTCTAGATGAAACTCCGAAGAGTAAGGGGTCCGCGATGTCAAAACCAAATAATATGTGCATGCTTGATATTTTAAAAATTATATTGTGACAATTTGTTGTAGTAGGAATTAACTAAAGATTGAATTAATGGAGTTTGATGAAGGAGCTTATCTATCCATCTAAATTCACACATTGTATATGTATTGATTTGGCAATGGAAGTTAAGATATTTTAAGAATTCAAAGTGGTGAAACTTCAAGTGAAGAACTTACTGATTGCCGGTTTTCGTCTATGTTGCTCGGACTCTCCGACAATGTTGTTGGATTCGTGTTGGATCCTCCAAACGTAGTGCATTTTTGGAGGACCCAACATGGGTGCGATAATATTTTTGAGGAGTCCACGCAACATAGATTTTCATAATTGAGATGTAGAGTGTAGTTTTTCTTTTAAGAAAATTCTTAGGCTTCGAATGTAGCTTGTCCTTAATAGAGTAGCACATTTATATAGAAAATTTTGCTTCCTATGATATGTCAGTACTTGTCAAATGTTGCATCAGTCTGTTGAGTGTGAGACATGTTTTATTTGGTTGAACATTTAGCACACTCCATCTCTTGTCCATTTCTCTTAGCTTGTAATTCTACAAGGAATATGTCGGTTACTTCATATACTAATTAATAGCCTGTTTGGCCAAGCTTCTCCAAGCCATAAGCATTTTTTTTTGCTTTTTTTCCAAAGTTGAAGTGTTTGGCCAAGCTTTTAGAGGAAAAAAAGTGCTTTGGAGTAGAAGCAGAAGCAGTTTTGGAGAAGCAGAAAAAAGTAGCTTCTCTCCAAAGCACTTTTTTTGAAAAGCTCTTTTGAGAAAAATACACTTAGAAACAGTTTTTAAAAGCTTGGCCAAACATTAATTGCTGCTCAGAAGTGCTTTTCAAATAAATTAGCGAAACACAAACTGCTTCTCACCAAAAGTACTTTTGAGAAAAAGCACTTCTCAAAATAAGCTGATTTTTGCAGCTTGGCCAAACAGGCTATAATGAATTTCTAGTGAAGTACACGTCTAATAATCTAGCTATAAGCATCACCATTGGTAGTATAGCATTTCAGATGCATAATATAATACATTGAGCTGTGCTTTTTTTTCTTGGAGCAATTTGATAGCCTCTGCAACATTAAATTTACATTCTGTACATTTCACTTCCTAGACGAGTCTCTATCTTGGAACATAAAATCTTAGTATGTCCCCCAAAAAATGCTTCTGTGGAACAAAAAATACAATATAGAGAGGCAAGTCAAGCAACTGAGCGATTTGATGGGACTTGATCCACAATAATGAAAAATTGAAAAATATTTCATATGCTTTAGGGCCAAGATAGAGTCAATTCTAGTTGTTTCTTTAGATTGTCAACGGAATAAGGAATCAACATTCAAACATTGGATCAGAAGAAAGAAAAGTGACAGGAAGTATGCTGGAATAATTGCGTGGATGAAAGTAAATAGGTTGTCAATCTAGAGTAGGAAACACGACGTACGTTTTAGTTTAACATGCATTAAGCTTAGCTCTCTGTAAAATTGTAAAGTCATACAGGTTCTTAATGCAGCAATGCTGTACTGGCCCATGCCGAATGCACTCTATGTTGAAGGCTATGCACTTGATCGATTTGCTGAAGGCCTCTGGGGACTGCAACCAGTTCATCAAAATAGGGTATGCTTGGTACAATATTTTGCTTGTTTATCCTGTGAAATCGGAGCTGTATTCGAGCTGTTGCTGCATCATTCAGCTTGCAATCACATTGTGAACTTGTAATGTGAAGCAGGTAGGATTAGTTTTTGATGCTGGGATTGAGAAAGAGCTTCTTATTCGCCATCTAC